GTAGTGAACGAAGGTAATTGTGTATGCGAGTAAACGTGGGTGGTAGCTCGCAATGCACACTCTTCGCGGACTCAGCCTTGAATATCAGAACTCTTCATGAAGTCAGGCTTTTTGCCAAGAGCGCAACCAAGAAGGGCTCACGACTTCGCTGTGGCTGTTGCCCGTGAAGCGCTGTTGTCATTCTAGATGAACACGATTTGAAGTTTGGGTAGGCTATGGGGCAGTGCAAAGTGGCAGTGCAAAGCGGCTCGCATCAAAATGTCTACATCAGATGACTGAGTAGGCATGTCTTTAGTGCTGCCGCCGCTGGCAAGGGGATTGATCGATCCGCGGTAAGCGCCTTTGGCTAAGTCTGCGCCTGAATTATGTGGTGTCAATATACGGTAAAGCAGGTAAGTGAGTGAGAGCGCGAGTACGCGTCTCAAATGGACATGAGATTTGTGTCGGGCGCGGCTGAAGGCGGGGAAGCTGAGCGCCACCTAGGCAGCGACCAATCCATGCATGCGCCTTTGTTGAACGTCCAACACATCTCACAGCGTCGCATCCTGACGCAATCTCAGTAAATGAAACATAATACGTGAGGTGTGCTACGACGACTTACATTGGAACCTCAGATACAGTCACACCAGTCTGAACACTTGCTCAAGCGGGCCGTATTCACCCACGTATCGATCTGGTGGATCTTCTCTACAATCTGCTTCCAGCCCACTACCCCGGCCAGTCAACTACTTTGGAGAAAATAGTCGGAACAAAATATACTTCTCGTCATATATCGTGACTTCCCCACGGTCGCTAAAGCCAGCCTTTTTCACCACGTTTTGACTATCGTCTCGGTCAACTTTGATGGGTGCAGTCAATCGCTCCGGTACCACACCTCTTTCCTCAGCGTCTAGGAACTTCGTCTCAACACACATGTCAATGGTTATGTGAGGCATGTTCCACCACACTTCCAAGAATCCATTCAAGAACTCAGTGGCGCGACCTTTTCCCCAGAACTTTTGCTTCAGCACGTAGCATACTTCAGGCAATCGATCTTTGGACCAGTAGACGCCTCCTGTACCGATAAACTCGCCTTCAGCGACGTCGTCATCCCACTTGCGGGCGAAGATCCCAACTGACGCCCAATCTTGTCGTTGATCATTGAAGTAGGCTCGAGCTGCTCTAGGAAACAACATTGGGCCCACGCCTGCGTTGATCATCGTCTGTTCTTCCTGTAGCATCTTATGGTATTCTGGCCAGTCTTCTTCAACTAGAGGTCGACACAAGAGACGTTCAGTCTTGAATTGGGGGACATGCCGACTCGCAGGTCCGGTCGTCGTGATAGCTACGGCCAGGTTCGGTGTTGAGGTAGACGCGGACATCGTAATCTGACGGAAGGAAGAGACCTATGTAGCTAATATAGACCCGAGAATAGGTGCGACTCTTGAAGCCGAGGTGTAAGTAGCTTTGGGAAGATCAAACATGTCGTTTCAAGAAGAGGTTGATGACGCGTGTAGCTTGTTCAATGCTGGTCCGGGCCTCCTCGTGTAACTGCAAGCGGCGTCACCGGCACAAGGCGCAGACCGTGGTCGATACGCTACAGTCGTGTAACCAAAGACAATCCGTAAAGGGTATTGATGAGATAGCTATCAACGTAGTATCTCGTGCCCTGACTATACGAAAGATGAGTGCAGTGTTGGACGAACGCGTCCAGACGCGTGACGCCATCGAACCCCACCAAAGCTGATTAGTCATATGTCACCATGTAATAGCCGCATCCAGAGCATGGCTTCGTTGCTTTTTCGAGCGCGTTTCAGACGCTTCCTCAGCCCTCTCAGCGTCCGTGTCCGTATCCGCAGGTGTCATGGTGCTCGTAGCTTTCCGCAGTTCATATCGCTTACATGATTCGCCAACGCCGAAGTCAACGTTGTGTTTCACTCGGTTGAAATCACCACCTGTTGCATAGATGGAGATGTCAGCATCTTATACTTCGTGAAACTGGCCGAATGGACATCCTGAGCGGACGCAATAGCGAAGATTGGTGTGGATAAATTGTAAGCTTTCGAGGGTAAGCTTTTCGTAGCTATACGCATTAGCATTCATGGAAAGCATCTTTTATGTAAGATGTAAGATGACTCGTGATTCTAGCGACATCACACGGCTTTGACTCGTGGCGCGAGAATGAACAAGCCTTTGGATGAGATTGGCTGTGGAAGCTGACATTTTATCGGTATTCCCTTACTTACTAGCTCCTGGAGCAACTGAGCGTGTGGAGCCTCTCTGCTTTGGGACATGCCCCCACAGGTAGGGCCGTCCTGGTAGCTAGTGTGATACAGATACATGAGCAAATCCGACATAGACATGAAACTGAATAACCAGAAAGTAGGAAGGACTTTTAGCCATAGCTTAGATCATATTCATCCGACATCCAAATCCTCGCTATCAGAATCTCATCATCCTAATATTCCTCATCAGAAACTTCGACATCAGGATCCACGAAGTTCGGTAGTCTAGTTGAATGGTATCGACAAGTTGGAGAATGTGCTGAATTGCCGACGCGAAATATACCATGTTCTCCTGTGTAAGGTGCTCGGCACACATAGCAGAACTGGAAACCGCAACCGTTCCGGCCACCTGTCCAGGTCAGCAGTTATCGAAGAGAGATGGATTTGCAATATACTTACAAGTCATATGATTGCAACCCATAATCTTCTGGATCTGCACCCCACAACCCGGGCATTCAACTGAAGACTTTGCGACCTCAGCCGCGCTCGCTGCTTCATGCTCTCTTCTGATTCTAGCCTCTTCTTCCTCGGCCTGGGCTATCTCCCGAGCAACACGCTCGTTATATTGTGTGCAAGCTTCGTTCTCGTGGAAAGGTATGATGGAATCGTGTGCAGTACACATACGATAGCCGCATGCTGCGCAACGAAAGATTGGGCCTTCTACACCGGTATCGTGGATCTGACCCGATGAGCATCCTTCACCATGACAATAGAGGAAGTTTTTGTCGGCACTAAGGAGACTGCGCATTGACAATTCGTCAAACCTATAATTCGATGTGAGCATGGAGCAGAAGCGATCATGGAGGTTCTGAACTGGCAATCCTTACCTAGTGAATACGTCTTGTGGTGTGTTTTTGCGCACGTCTTCGTGAGTGATTGCGTGACTGCATCCGCTTGACGGACAAAGAATGTTAGTCACGCTTTCCATTTGTTGTTTGAGCCATAGGAGAAAGCGTCCACTACAGACTTCGGGATCATGCTCGCAATCTGCTAGCTTCGGGAAGCGCTTCCATGGCAGCGTCTCTGCACAGACACTGCATATCTTCGTTCTCGGCAGCTTCAACACCACGACCCTAGAAGACTTTTCAGGCGCTTCGTTGTTGCTTATCTCTGCTCTTTTACTTGCTCTGATTCTTTTCTGGAAATCGTCCCGGAACGCTTGAGCAAAGACATGTCTGAACATAAAGGTTCGAGCTTCCATCGAAGCCTGGAACGGTGATTGTGAACGTGAACGCTCGAAGTCACGTTGAGGCCTTGACATCGCAACGTCGAAGTCAGATTCATCTGACTGTTTCATCAGATATGAAGTCGTGGCGGACTGTACCGTAGGTACAGTGTCAGGAGACGGGGTGTGTTCTGGTCCTGATGTTGACGCAGGTTGTTGACTCTCACTCGAGAACAAAGACAAGGACGGTCTGACAGCGCCGGGGTTATAGTTAGTGTTTCGCTTCTTCTTTGTTGTTTCTGCGGTGTCAGCTATGGAAAATGGCGTCGCTGAAGTCCTCTTGCGCTTTGAAGCAGTTTTCTTCTCTAGACATGTCCTGCAACTCTTCCAGTACTTGCCCGAGCCTTTTTCCTTGATCTTGATGGTGAGATCCTTCTTGCAGGTGTCGCATTTTGTTGGGCGAGTGAGATCGTTCTCATACCCAAGAGGCCGCAGAGCACTTTTCAATTTCAATTTCGCCATGGCGCGTCCGTCATCTACGGGAGTGATGCTCGTTATTGTGTTCGTACACCTCGAGCAGCTGTGGAAGTGTTGTCGCAAGTCTGATTCCTGACCTGTAGTGCAGGATGAACAAGTTTGACAGCCGAGGCGATGGAAGTGAGTGTTACAGAAGGGTAAGAGCGAAGATCAAAGCGACGGTAAGGGCGCCGAAGATACCGAGAGTGAGTGAGTAGCGAGAGCAGGAGCGATGATGACCGAGAGTTGAAGCAGTGGTACACGCATGACCGGTGAGCCCTGTCTTGCAATGTGAGCCTTGAAGTACTTCTGATATCTTCCAGAAAACAAGCTGGCGACGGCTGCGAGTGAGAGGCGATGACCGTTTCGAGTGGTCCCGCTGATATCACCGACACTAGGCGGTACGCGCTCTGTCGCCCATTGCGAAATCTCCTCGTGCGCCACGATGAACAACTAAATGAAGGTAGTTGCAATCTATACCAGTAACCCATATCGCGACGATGAACAGTCTATGCGTTCAGATATCGCTCAGACCATCGGATTCAACATCACAACATGCTCTGATGAGTGAGTTGATCATGTTGGCCTGTGGGCACCTCACTGTAGCGTCTCACATGACAACAGCATATGCAGAAGAATGAGTGTGGTGAGGCTTGCCGGAAGTTGGGAAGTCGCGGGAAGGAGATCAGGGTCCACTGACTCCAGTCGCCGCATCGCTGGGAGTTGAACACGAGTCATGACTGATCCAGCAAACAAGGAAGCTCGTTTTGGAGAAGTTGTACCTATGGCGAGCATACGTTCAAAGGCAAATTCATACTGCCATATCAAAACCTGAACAGAGTCGTTTTCGGTATTATCTTTTAGGATATTCTTCCCTGTATGACATCAGGAAGGTACGACTTGGCAAAACGAGCTTCTTCAAACCATGAACGATGAAAAGTACTATCATTCGCAGGCTCATCGAGCCAAAAACTAGTCTGAATTTTGAGTGCAACAACTGTGCCAAGAAGAAACGCCATGAACACCAGCTCAATGCATATCGCGCTTTCACCCATCTAGGCTCCAGTCCAAGGCTTCCCCTGCTGCTTTTGCCATTTCTGCACCCTCTTTCTGATATCAGCGGCAGTCTGCTGCATGGGATTGAGCTTGCGATCCCTCGCCATCTTGGCATAGTCTTCTCCGTATTTACTGACTAACCTCTCCACCCACTCCTGCTCCCTCTGACTCTGACCCCTCGGCGCCTTCTTGGCCCCGTTCAAGGCCGCCTCCTCCAGCTCCTTGATGACTGGGTTCTGCGCCTCGTCCGGTCGCTCCGGTACCATGGCAAAGCCGTTCCACTCTTCTCCCTCATTGTCGTCCTCGATGTCGTTGAGCGGGTCGTTCAAGGGGTTGTCCCTCTTCTCGGATGCAAATGTGCCTGTTACGCGGAGAATGGCACCCGTTTCAGGGTCGCGCTCGACTTCAATCTCCTCGGTGGGGATGTTCTCGGGCTTCTTCGCTTTGGAGACAATGTTCAGGGCGTCGGCTGTGCTGTTTGCGGCGGTGTCTGCGCGCGAGGATTTCTCGTCGTTGAGGCCGAGGAGGGCGATGGTCTTTTCTGTGCCACCGGTTGCGTGGTTGAGGCGCGCTGTTAGGCCGAGACGGCGGTAGTTTTGTGCGAGGGTTTCTTTCTGGTTCCTGGACAAGTGTTAGTCTGATGCTGTCACGCAGAGTTGTAGAATTTGGGCGCAATATCGTACCAGTGCTTTGCGATGATGGGATTCTGCAGAATCTTCTTCTTGGAGGGACCATTCTGGCGCTTCCGGGGGATGGAAGACTTGTTCTTCTTTTTCTGGAGTTCGCGACCCATTTTGAGTGATTTCCGAGATTGATCGAGGGCGTGGGGTTGGTTTGTCTGGTGTTGTCGAGGCGGTGGTCGCAACTTGCCCAAAGTTTTGGCGAACTTTCCGTTAGCGTTATCGATAGCGGACTAGGTCTCTACCGAGCTCCAGGCCAGGCCAGTTTACATGAAGTAGGTGACAGACCCCTGAGCGTCCAACCCCTCACGACCCAATATCACGGACACATATCATCGAATCATTTCACGCGTCATTATGGTGTCGCGACGGAACAGGACTCTGCTTTCCTTGGCAATCTTCCTGGGTGTTCTGGGATGGAACGTGGCTGCTGCGGCTGTTAAGGGCGAGACGGGCGTGCCAGTGGGCAACTTGAGCGCGCATGAGATTGAAGAGCAATTGCAGGTACGGCAGCCACTGGCTTTTCTCCATTGAACCTCTACTGGTCCACCAACTGGTCCTCCCACTAGCAACACCCTGATGTCGCGTGCCCATAGCGGTACTAACACCACCTAGGAATGTCCCCTCGTACAAGCTCTCAACCAGCACAAGGTAGCCTCAGCCCCCACCACGTCGTCCCTCAGCTCCCAAATCTTCGCCTTCCTCTTCCCCGGCAGCCCCGCAATCAATGCCCTGCTGGCGACGCTCTACATCTCCGGTCCGCCAAACTTCCTCCTTGCGCTATGTCCGCCCAACATCGACCCCTCCTCGCTGTCCGTCATGGTCGCATTCGCTGTAGGTGGATTGCTGGGTGACACTCTCTTCCACTTGTTGCCTGAGATCTTCTTGGGCGAGGAAGAGCACAACTCGGTCAAGTTTGTCATGGTGGAACCCAACAAGAACCTTTTGTTGGGTGTGGCTATCATGGTCGGCTTTGTCACCTTTGTGGCCATGGACAAGGGCCTGCGTATCGCGACTGGAGGCGAAGGCGGACACGACCACTCGCATGGCCATTCGCACGCAAAAGTCGAGGATACTGCCAAGACCACAGGCGTCGACGTTGGCAGCTCCAAAGATGGTGTGCGCTCGAGGAAGGCAGGCGCAAACGGCACCTCATCCGTCGCAGAGACAGCGGAGAAGGAGATCAATGCCAGCGTAAAGCTGGGTGGTTACCTCAACCTCATTGCAGACTTCACTCACAACATCACCGACGGCCTGGCGCTCAGCTCCTCCTTCTACGCCTCGCCTACAATCGGCGCAACCACGACTGTCGCTGTCTTCTTCCACGAGATTCCTCACGAGGTCGGCGACTTCGCCCTCCTCATCCAGTCTGGCTTCTCCAAGCGAGCAGCCATGGGCGCGCAGTTTGTTACAGCTGTCGGCGCATTCCTCGGCACGTGTATAGGCATTGCAGTCCAGGAGTTTGGCGGTAGTTCTGCGTCCGCGGATGTTCACGGCGCGGGCGCTGGTATCATGGGCACTAGTCTGCAGTGGGGAGACATGCTGCTGCCCTTCACCGCCGGTACTTTCCTGTATGTTGGGACTGTCGCCGTTATCCCAGAGCTTCTCGAGACCGGCCCGAATAAAGGCCAAGAGCTTAGGAAGACGTTGATGCAATTCGCCGCCATGTTTACGGGTGCTGGTATCATGCTGTAGTAAGTTTTCCCAGACTTGTGCCAATGCTTGGAGCAACATGTGCTAACCATTACAGTATATCCTGGGATTAGGCTTTGACCTGAGATTCCATCTTGATTCTTCCACATTCACAGCGTCTTTCAGGACACATGGTGAGTATAGTTGATTACTAGCGGATCGGCGAGAGCCCGACATTTATGGTGCAACTTCCATTCCGATAGGAGCATCACCTGCGCATCAGCTACACAGTATAATATCAAAACGAGATGCGGGCATCAGCCGGCCGCTGATCGAAAGTAATTGCGCCATGCGCCATAAGCACCGAATGCATGTTCCTATCGTGGTCGCCGATATGGCAAACTTCCCCTTTTGGTCGGCGTGCATCGTGAGAACATCAGAAACAGCACGGCATGTATCAACATGTCCATACTTTGGCGACCCGCTTGAACGTCTTTGTTCTCTTCCACTACTACCCTCTGCTTCATACAGATGACTGTGCGCAAGACCCGAGGTCAGTGGCACACAGCCCACAAAGACTGTCATCTCGTACATTGCAAATGCTGCTCAGTACTAATATTGCGCTTTCGGACGAACCACTGATAAAGGTTTACCCTTTTCAGCTGCTCATTTGGCAGATCTAAACGCTTTTCAATTCGCCGTTTGTCCAAGACGTTAGGGCTGACGGTACACGTAGCGTAGGCCCGAACCTGGCACCAACCTTCCCCAGATTCCTCGGCATGCCTTCATCAATTATCTCCGCTACGCAAGGTTTGTTACCACTGCTGCGGTCGTGGCTGTGCGCCGTGAGATTTTGCTTTCCGTGTGGGCGGGGGAAGCTGCAGAAAGATAGAGGGGAGATGGTGGAGATTTCCTCTCTTCTCTAAGTGGGTATGGGTAGTCTTTATGGTCGCGCGAGAACCTGAGTTTCCCCAGATTCTTCGGCTTGCTTTTAGTAATTGATTCCGCTATACCAGGGTCATGACCGAAGATGCGGTCGTGGCTGTGCTTGGAACACTCCCGCTTACGCCCAGAGCGGGCCAATGCTCAATTCTTACCGAAATCAGCTTGCACAAGATGCGATACGATCGGCTGCACATTGCATTCGGAGACTGCCTTTGTCCGATGCCGCACTCATTGGTACGACACTCGTACATGTTACCAACGTGATTGGCCAGCCTCGTTCACCATTTGCATAATGCGGGTAAGGCGTGCAGAGTAATCCTGAGGCACACCCAGTTTGATCACTAAGCCACACTTGCACGCTAGCGCTGCCGCCTTACCGTCTTGACGAGCAGCAAAGTGGCTGCCGACTAACCGCCGTGGTGGACGGCTCTGTCATACATATGGGCCGCATGGTCCTGGCATGGTTGTCATGCCGCTGTCAGTTCTTATAGCGTCTTGGTGCCTAATCTCACTTCCGAACTGATCTCACGATATCTCTTTTCATCTCAACTAACCTTCCATTTCAGCCAGCCTTTTGGAGTGACAGTATAGTACTGCGACGATACGATACTTTCATATAGAAAACGCATGGGCATCCCGGCATCGCATCAATTGAAGGGTTTATTGGACCATCACGACATGATGAAAGATTTGGCGGTCAACTGGAGGCATCTTCCCAAGAACAGGATGTGCCCATCTACCCGACCTTCCCAACACCACTATACACCTCGCTACTCACCACGATATCGGTCCATCGTACCGACTCTCCTCATCCTCCTCTGCATACCAATCTTCGTCTACCACCTCATACCCAGATATACTTCCGCCACCGACGGCATAATATCCTCGCTGGCACACAAATTACATTCTACTGGGACGACGAGCAGTTTCTGCACAAAAGAGGTTGGATCACTGCAGTGCTGCGCATTATACCTGGCTGCTGCGCCATGTCAGGATGAATGCAGGAAGAACCATATGGACAGGGAGACGCTGGCTTTGACAAAGGAGTATGATGAGTGTGCGGATCAGTGTCTGGTCGAATACAACAAGAGTTGTATAACCAAGACCACGGGGGACGAAAATGAACAGACAAAAACGGAGCCGCCGCGACAACGAGGATCAAGAACAGCAGAGTGGTGGTCAACGGTCCAACATACTTCGGAGTGATGGAGGGAGCAAGGAAATCCGATAAAACCGAATAACAGCAACAACTACAATATCTTCCCCCCTTGATCTTCTTTTGGGAACCACACACACATCGAATCACACTTTCCCTTGACACTACGGAAGACACAAAACTCGACATAAATGAGAATATAATCACAAACAACACACCCCGCGATGATGCCATGGCATGCTCCGAGGAGCGGCTGCAGCGGAGGCTGTGCATGTGGTGGGTACCGCCAAGATTGCGGCGCTTGGGACAACCGGCTAGAACGGCATTTTGGCAACACGGCCAACGACTTCATATGTCGGAAAGAAGCAATTGGCCGATAGCCGAAAAAAAAGGACAAAGGGGAGTGATGGTAGTTGTAGTAGTGATAGTGCTCTTTTGTCTTGTCCGTGTTTCAGGGAAATATCGCGTGGCTGGGGGGATTGCTGGGATTCTGGGGATGTACCTAGGCCCTTTCTCCAGTCCAACCCAACCCCCCTGGTCGCCTTGATATATGGCATAGGGAGGTGTGCTAGAGAAAGTCTAGTACTTCTGGATGCGGAGGTAAGGAAGGGTTTTTGTCCGTTTCGGCCATGTTTAGTTGGTTGGGATGATGGATGGTAGACTCGGCCGATGGGTGTGGAGTACGATTAGTTTTCTCGTATGGTAGCGCACCATCGCCTTCTCCTTTCCCCTTTTTCATATGTTGTTCAGCTAGAGGTTTGCTGTATTATATAGGCATGTCAGCAGTCGCACTCGCACTCGGCGGTGCCAAGATGTGGTTCGTTGGAAGGATAGATACGCTGATTTTGTAATCAACATTACTGCCGAGCCTGACCTTTGGGAGGGGAGATGTGCCTTGTGTTTGATATGCGGGGTTATAGGGCTGGTGGGTCGATTGGGATTGGTCCTAGCGCGTGTCATGGACGCGTTCAACGGTGCCAATACCATCTCCTACGACCGTGTCGCGTTGTCTCTGCATCAGCATCTGTCTACAACAACTTCTCATTGTATTGGCACGGCGATGTCATATGATAGAGCTGATCGGTTTCGCGCCAGCTCTACTCTTTTCATTCCTTAATAGTAACGATCCAATACCCAAAAGCAGTCCACATGATCGTCGTACCCAGACCTGTACATATCAGGCTCGTCCAACTGTCCAGCCCCGTCCCTGAGCTGATATAACGACACATCACCCCGCCAACGACGCCCATCCAAACAACAAAGAATCCTACTTCCCATACCTTTTTCTTCAGTTCTGTCCATCTGTTGCTCTCTTGTGTCTGCGATTCCCCCCGCATCGACGTACCCCATTCATTAGCAAGCATGGTTACAAAACTCCAAGCTTGGATCGCTGGTAGCGGTATCATATAGAATAAAGCGGCAGGGACTGACCAGACCCACTCGCCCCAGGTAGGATTAATTGGGTTCCTGGCCTTTAGATAAACCGCGGTTAAGAGAAACTTTACCACGTAGTCTCTCGGTATGAACCGCATGAAAGGACTGACGCCGACGAAGAAGTAAGACACCATCGTCGTAAATATAACAAAGGATGTTATCTCTCGACGCAACGCGGCATAGAAGAATAGGGGCGGCTGGTTGAGGTACATGGTTGGATGAGCGTAGGACTCAATGTGCACGGCGCGAGCCCAGCGGACTTGCTGCAGGAGCCAGCGGCGGAGTGTGACGGGTGTCTCGGTAGCAGTAACTGCGTGCGAGATGTAGCGAACACGATAGCCTTGGAGAAGGAGGCGGGTCGTCATGTGTCGATCTTCGTTGACAATCTGCGGAGCGTCAGCGCTATCAATGAGAGGTTTCACTCGCCTGGTATGATGTTGGTTGAAAGGACGAGATACTGACCATCCAATGCCCAAAGATAGTCTGCTTGTACCAAGCTAGTAGTTTGGGCTTGATAGCTTCGATGCGGAATGCAGCACAAGGTCCGCTCTGGCAGTCGTTGGCGCCCACGGCACTTGAGAAACACCTTGAAAGATGTAGATCGTTCAAGTAAATCGTGTTCCCCAGCGTTGTGACAAGGTTATCCTTTCGATTATGGATGTTCAGTGCAGTACTGGCTCCTGCGCACTTGTCGTCTCCATGTATGGTTTGGATTGTTCTCATGATAGTGTCTTTGTAGACCATGGAATCAGAATCGGAGGTCCACACGTATTCGATATCGAGAAGCTCAGATAGAGCAAAGCAGACGATGAAAGAGGTGAACATGATGCCCTTCTTGTGCATATGGGGCTGTGTTACACAGAGGTGTGTTATGGCATTGGGTCCTGCGAGATGTATCTCGTGATCAAGTAACGTCTGCTTAGCAAGTGCTATGCATTTCTCGATGAGAACTATGTCTTGCCTCCACGTTTCAGCATCGCACTCCATTTGGAGCGCAATATCCACTAGTGGAATGGGAAGATCGATGACGGCTGAGCTACTGGGATAGACCTGATCATTGTCAATCGATGCATACGACGTAGGAAGCAGGAAACCAAGATCGGACGACATACCTTTCGAAACACGTCAACCATGACTTGATCTTCTGCTTCATTGCCATCGATGCAAGTAAGCACAAATCGACATCCCTCAGCATCTGTGTAGCTCTCGAGAGCTTTTGTGAAGATGATAGGATCCTCACGATATCCTACGATGGCAGCGATACAGCCAAGTTCGAGCTTTGACGAGCGCTCGGAATGAGTATAGTATTCTCCTTTTTCTGCCACACTCAGTTCGGGATAAACATCGCCTTTCTCTCCTTCCTCCTTCTGACAACTTCGACGAACTCTTTCGTTGTCCCAGCCGCACTGTTCTGCTAGGTAAACCGTGATGATTGTGTCGAAAGTGTAGAGATAGTCGGACCAATACAATGTAGTGTAGCAGTAAAGGGCCGTTGCAACTAAGCAGCCAATGAAGTTGTAGATTTTTCCGGACCTTGTAACTAAAATCTGTATTTTCGGCTCTGAGAAGCTGTGCTTGCGCTCATCTCCTAGTTCAGATGTCTTCGATGGCTGGAAAGAGGTGCAATAAGAGCAGAGCCGCGCAAAGTTCATGCGCAGCCAGTGAGTTGTGAGTATCTTCATGATCAGAATTGTTGAAACAATAAATCACACCAAAAGACTTATCTTATAAACAGATATAATCATCCTATTGAGACCATGCGGCAGAGCCTGGAACGAATATACACCGACAACGCACTGCGGACAGACTTTACGGACCTTTTTGCAACGCGCCGTCGTAGTAGAAAGTAGGCCCATTGCCATGCTGCAGTAAATACACAGATGACACAAAAGCAGTAGCTCATGATGCCTTGAATGCTACATCGAGGCAAGGCTGGTGTCCTGTACGGCTCTTTTTAGTGCAGTCTGGTACTATTTGAGGATTACCTGGGTAGTGACAACCTAGTCGATACCTATGGCGACCTCAACTGACCTATCGGTGATAGTATTCCCATCCATGTACTCAAGTCTCATCCCTTATCGTTGCTGGGAAGTCAGTAGTCTAGCATATCTCACGTGCCATAGCTACCAGAATGAACCTCGGTGAAGTCCTAGGATGGGAAGGTCACTACGATTGATTACCAAGATGTCCCAGATACCAAGGTCTAGAAGGCCATAGACATGTACTATTCTTGACCGCTCAGTCTTGGAACTGTCATCTGGTGGTCTGTGCTGTCGCACACTATCAGGGTAGGTTAAAACTTGCTACCAAGACTTCCTGGGCATTCTGTGTACTCGTATGTATTACAACAAAAAGACCCGGAGACGCATTCTTTAGACTTCCAAGGTTGTCTGGAATGTAAAGGGCCTTTTTCGGACAGTGGAATTGCGATTGTTACTCCGCGGCGCTCAATGCCGTTCCGCACACTCCGCGATAACGATCTGCTGTGCGTATCCATCTCTTCTTGGTGCGAACGATGTCCCCTTTTCGTAAACGGCTGAACGGCTAATCTCAACGACAAAACAATCTTTCCATGATAACTCGAAAGTTGAATACGTTAAGATATAACAAAATGGGTGTCGAAAGCTGGAGCGTCTTGGAGGCTTCCATACCATGATTACATCGCTATAGACTACGTGCAATTCCTTTCATCAGATGCAACTTCATAGATAGGACATCATGATGACACGTCACTGTTTGGAATGTACCAGGGTCACGTTGAATGCTGGGATATCGATATTCTGCGTAAGGCCGCTTGTATATTATAAATCACGGGAAGTTACCTATATCAGGTCAACATTCCTTTCAGATCTGCCGAAACATATCCTGTTTTGTTAGTCTGTCTATTCTCGCGCCCAGTCTCGACAACACTGCGGCGCCTCCATCTTTTCCAGAACTCCTTGAGCGGTAACTTCATATCTGACTGTGGATTACCAGAGCTTTGACAGCTTACACAGCGCTTTGCGTTTTTGGTTCGTCGGGAGCATTGTATCCGATGGTGCATATCATCTGATCGATGACCATATCAGTATCTCGTTCCTCGAATCCAGCATCATCCTCGACCGTTAGACCATAGAATCAGTCTCTGTACTCAGAACAAGACTTGCGTGGCCTCATATCATCGCACTACACGATTTCTTCTGCTTCTCATCCACAAAGCATGGCCTTAAAGTTAGTCCCTGCGGGCCGGGAGATCTGGTTGGATGGACTCCGCGGTGTTGCCGCAGTCATTGTTGTTTGGTTCCATATGACAGCTGGAAAGCTTGCCACGCCTTACCGATCTTTCTGGGACTTACCAGCATCTGAAAATCGACAACTAATCCAGGTCTTACCCTTTCGAATCTTCTTCTCCGGACCTGGCATGGTCGACATCTTCTTTGTGGTATCTGGATACTCCATCTCCATTGGCCTGATCAAACTTCGTCACGAGGGTTCCATGGCCCGGTTCTACCAGAGATTGACAAGCAGTGTGGTCAGAAGGATGTTCCGGCTGTGCTTCCCAGTTGCAATCATGATGCTAGGAAGTCATGTCTTGTACTATACTGGGCTTTACACTATACCTTTCAAAGAAGGCACAGGATGCCCAGGCGCACACCCATGGAAGTCTCCGATCCCACATGTTCAGTGCCTAGCACGGTCTTTTGTCAGCATCATCAACGTGGAGAATATTCAAAATCTGACACTCAACGATCGTGAGTAAACCAAAAGGCATAAGGTCACACTTTGCTAACCATCATCCCAGACTTCTGGACGATTCCCGTGGAGATACGCGGCTCTATGAAAGTATACCTGACACTACTTGGACTATCAAACGCCCGCGAGACAGTGAGGATCCTCATCATAGGACTACTTTGTGTGCGGTCATGGTGGAATGGTACACCCGAGTTTATGGCTTTCTTTGCAGGAGTCTTGTATGCAGAACTCAGCGCTTCCGCGTCATTTGGACAGCACGAGATACTGTCACTTTTGCCCCCTTCTCGTCGATACAACTGGAGGTTGAGCCCATCCAAGACTGTACTGGATCGACTATCATCCTTGTCGAGATATTCGGTCTTTCTTTTGGGTATCTACCTCCTTTGTCTACCCATACGAATTCAGTCTGATGGTACCATTGACGCAAACTTCCCACCAGACTGGTTCTTCCTCGAATGGTGTCCTCCGCTCCTGTGGTGGAACACGGAAACAACAATGCGCACATGGCATACGTTCGGCGCGATCTTGGTTATTGGTAGTATGCGTGTTCTACCCCGACTTCGAGCACCTTTCGAAACTAGGGCTGCACAATTTCTGGGTCATATGTCTTTTAGCTTGTACCTATGTCATCAGACTGTTCTTCGTATCATGCTACACTGGTCTTTACATTGGACGAGCTTGTGCGTTACTGGCGTGAGTTACTTCGAAGCTCATCCACAAGGAAAGTGGGGGATAGTATTTGTGGCGTGGATGTTAACAACACCCTTGATAACAGGAGTACTACTACTGGTTAGTGTCTATATGGCAGAATTGGTTGACCGAAGAAGTATTGCTGTAAGCCTTTACATGGAGAGACTATTATGTAGATCATAGGATTACAAACTTGCACTCTATATCGGTATCATAACACTGTGTCTCATTACCGAAGTCACGATATACTGCAGTAGTTGGTTCTATGCTGTGTAAAAGCAGAAAAACCACGATGCAACTTGGCTAACATCTACTGCAATTGATGGCCACCAACTCATTGCTTCATATGTGACATGTAAGTGATGATCTCGCTGATAGGTCTATCTGTAATACGAAGAAATCACTTATGTCGCATTGCTGCACCTATCTCTTCCAAAATCTCCACCCACTCCCGCTACTATCATTGGAACTTCTCTTCTTCTCAGCACTCCCAATGACATTTCCTACAACCTTTTGATCCATCGCATTCAACTTGTAATTCTTAAGGCACAACGTCAACGGCACTATCGGCGCGGCGCAACAAAGTGCACCAATGAGAAGATATCGCATCGTCTCTTGGTACGACCTGTTGATCGCGATGCGCACTGGAGATCCAGCCGGATACGTGACGTAATCCGCTGCGACAACGATACTGCCGTAGATAGTCGCCCAATCAGCTGCATTCTCAGCCGGGAGGTAACGTTGGAGGTTTCGCGGAATGTACGTGCTCCAAATCGCGCCGGAGATGGCTGAACCGACCGCACCACCAACTTCCAGGAGGGTGAGCCACACTGTTGTTGCGGCTGCAACTTGCTGATGGCTTACACTAGCCTGAACACCCAACTGCACCGGCACATTCAGAAAGCCTCCTCCGATACCAATAGCTATCTGCGTACCGACTAGAGTTCCCGTTGAAGCGGACTCTGTGCGGTAGTGCAACATGAGACCCATACCCATGAGGTAGATGGCGGCACCAAAGGTAACATAGTACTTATAGTGCGCCGTATACTTGATTAGGAGTGAGACGACGACGCTGGAGACGGTTGAACTGAAGGTGAAGACGCGCGTGATGTAGCCAGAAGTTACTATGGATTGGCCTTGGACGATCTGGAGGTAGGAGCTGAAGTAGGGGAAGACGGACATGTAAAATGCCACTATAGGGTCAATCAGTAAACATATCAAGGGTGTGGATGGTGACTTACTGAAGTAGAAGAACGCGATCAAGACACCGGCGATGACTGTCCGTTCTTTAAAGAGATTTGGCGGGAAGAAAGCTTTCGGTGCAAGCTTCTTACTTGTCTCCCATAACGGAAATGCAAGCAACAAGACACCACCAATAACCAACATAGCAATCATGCTCCCGTTCTTCCATCCGCCGCTTGCACTCGGGGCGAGAGTGAGGGGTAACAGGATAAGCGATATAGCGGCTGCAAACAACAGCAAACCAAATCCATCCAGGTCGAACCAGATGTTCTTCAGCACCTGAAACGTATTGCGCCCGTAAAACGGACTCGGCACATCGAAACCCAGGTTCTTCGCTCGCCGCTGATTCATCCACAAACTCACAGCAAGTGGGATGAAGCACACGGGTAGGATGATAGCCCAGATACCATATCCCCATCTCCACGAGATATTCGTATAGATCGCCTGCCCGACCTCTGGACCTGCCCACGTCGTCCATAGAAACGGCAGATCAAACAACGTCGAAAATAGTGCGCGATTCAGCAAATCCGTCGTATCAGCAACAAAAATCTGTTGCAAGACCTGTAAACCGTTGAAGCCGGCTGCCCAGAAGATTTGCGCTCCAGCGAAGGTTTGCACGTTGTTGGAGCCGGCTTGCATGATGTAGCCGATCGTGTAAAGAAAGATGGTTATGGAGAAGGATTCTAGGCGACCGAATACGTCGGCGATTTTCCCCATGGGTGGCTTAATAACGGCGGCTATGACGCCTTGGACTACGTAGATGGTGGAGACAAGGGAATGTTGGGCGAAAGCGGAAGTTGCGTAGGGGGTGAGGGCGCTGGTTACTTGGATTTCGAGAGAAGTTATATTGGCGATGAGGAGGAGGCTCGAAGAGAGTTAGTAGAGGACGCGTTTCGTGGTGGGAAGATGTGAGGGCGTACGTTACATAGGCGATTATGATCGAAGTTTTCGTCCACGCCTTACTCACAGCTTCAATACGTTTCACACCAGCCTGGGCTGAATGTTCGCTTGAAGTATCGTCGCTTAGCGAGCGTTCACGATTATAGTCGACATCTTTACCGAAGTTGCCGCGATCAGTTTCGTTGTGGAGGATACCAGTTTGCGGCATAGCCTCGTTCGGCCTCATCGAATTGCGCATCTTCGCATCCAAATCTCCCAACTCTTTCAGCAGATGTGACCGTCGCGATCCGCGTGCGCAGAATCGCAGATATCGACATGGCAGACGCGACTACTTTATCTGATCGACCCTGCATCGCCATGGCCGGAGTGCGCAAGGAAGGTTGGGCGCCCGTGTCATGCTATTGGTACAAACTATCGTCGCCAAGCGCGGCGGTGGCATGGCGGATGGAACATTCACCCACGCGACTGTGCTGTGTACCCTGAAAGTCCACGCGGGTCTGTGCGATGACAGCATGGCGTGCCCGCGAACCACATATCGGGGTCGAAGAGCGCTGTATAGCGTGCGGGTTAGCGATAAGCTGGATCTAATCTGATCCACCTTCGACGTTGAGGCGTGGGCTAGGGCGCCCTGGCGCGATTTGATGGTGTCTTGGGATCTTCGGGCTACGTCAGGGCTGAACCCGGAACAAATTCTCTCCCGTCTTCTTGGTGGCCTGATGGTTGGAGAGCAGCTTTTCGGTCACGCCGAAGCATGCATCTGACATCTTTTCGATACTCTCGCGACGTCGTGGACATCTGCACTAGAGTTGTCAACGCCGGATGGAGTGCCGTTGTGTTGTAGGCGCGGTGCGACGCGGCACGAAGCTGACTGGATGCGAAAATATCTCGTTCCGATACCACCTTCCTTTGCAGACGCTGTCGGCGCAGGGATGAGACTCATGGAAGTTGAAGAGGGATCTGTGCTAAGGTTTGGTATGCGGGGTTATAAAGACCAGCCGTGCTGCTAATCTTTCAAGTGTCCATCTTCACACCCATCACCCTCGCCTGTACAAGCAGAAGCTCTGCAACTACCTAAGAACACAAGAACTGGATTGCCCGGCTTAACGTAAACATTTTCAAGATTTTCAATTGTTTTTGGGTGCCACCGTTGGCCTGGAGAAGAACAGCTAAGAATGGAAGACCTGAACGCCGACGCTAAACAATCCATCGTCTAGCCGTTGCGATGCGTTTCGCGGGTATCGAGGAAATGATGAAACTGTAGACATAAGTACGTTACGTGTTGTGCAAGTACCTACGACAAGTGTATCTCGCGTTGCGACCTCAACGCGTTGTAGAATCCAAGGTTTCATGCACTCAGGATCGTCAGTGTAGCACCTCATCCGCCGTCTCGGGTTATTTAATGTTGACGCCATACCAGTAGAATTGGGTCGTTCCAGAGCCATCGTATGCATACAGTGGCTGGCTATGCAAGATGGGTGTCAAACCAGCATGCCCTCCAGACACAAGAAAGCCATCTAAGGTGCGGAAGACTTCATTGCCATTGTAGTCGAAGAGGAAATTACCAGAGCCATCCGTCGCAAGAGAAGATTGCTCATTCGGTAGACTGGTAGATGCGACAGTCGGGGGAAGATATGGTGGCTCAAGATGGAAACGCGGCTGGCTCGTGGGTGCGGGCGCATCTTCGAAGGAGACGGGAAATTCCGAAGGTTTCGGTGATCCTTCGTAGAGGCCTGACACATCAGAACAACGACGAGATTCTGTACCAGAGACGCTAGTGTTCTTGGTCACACCAGAGCCGGGAGCGCCTTGATAAAAGCTACCTCCAAGGTAGCGGCCTGAACTCGACCCGGGAGTCGACACACCTTGGAGGCTAGCAGCGGAATGTGTACGGCTAAGTGGTCTTGAGCCAAGCACATCTGAGTAGCGGCAGTGGCAGTCCACCACATGGTCTGCCCAGGAGTGTTCATCATCGAAAACAGTGTTACAGCAGCGATAACGGTCAGGAAGACCGTCCGGTGTGGACTTGAGTTTGTATTCCTTTGTATGCTTGTCCATCTTGAGGTGTTTGCGTAATTGCTTCTGCGACTTAGGGTCAAAGCCCTTCTCGAAGCATGTAAGGCAGTCTTGTTCAAAGTATCCCTTCTCAATTTTGACTTTGCGGGGACGCTGAAGGGTTATATTCGGTTGGCGGTAAGCGCAGGGATCGAGTAAACCGGCGAATTTAGATCGTTCGGTGGCTGAAGAGTGGTTCGCTGTAGGGAGGGAACGGGCGTTGACGTCGTGCAATGGCGCATGTAATCTGGTTGAAGAATTTCCTACTTGTCGGTCAGAGTTGGCCTTACGGCAAGTTTTAGGCATGCTTACCACACTCACGAATCCATCGTTCTACAGTGTGAAATGGCACATCTGCTAATGATGCCAGGCAGTCCCGGTGGTCGTTGTTGAAAGTGCTGTACAGTCTGAATGGAGCGAATACGTCCAGACCTGAGGCAAGACTCTCATTGTTGTTCATATTATGAGAATAGGGCAGTGCGTCTGGGAAGGCAAAATGGATCTTCCAAGCAAGAAGGTTCTGGACGATATGAAGCTTTTTCGTTTGCAGCATTCGTTCGATACACCTTCTTTGGTGATCACTTGGAGTGGCATCAGCTGGTGGTAGGTCCATGGTGGCCTTCGATTGGTGTTGGTCTATGCCGGAGTATGACGTCGTGTTAGGTGTATTGTGCTGAGTACCAAGCGTTGGGTCCCCAGTGCTGATCGAGCACAGCCCTAGGAAAGGATGGCAGAAGTTTGGAGAACGGGTTTGGGTAGCTGGGATGGCACTGAGAGATTGCGGAAGTGTGAGGAGACGATGTGTAGGCTCTGTGAGTAGTGTACAAAGAGGTGCCACAGTCTGTGGAGTGGGCGCTGTATCTCAACTGGAGGTAAAACGCTAATGTTGCGAATGACGAGATTGTGCGTGCGTACACCATGGTGAGCATGTTGGGACGCTGGCTGGTCTATATAGTTTATGAAGACGCTGGCGAAAGGCAAGACGGCAGCGCAAGTAAAGTCACTTTCACCCGCACACATAAGTGCGCCTACGTTGGAGTCCCGCTTGCTTGGCTGAACGCAGAGCATGCTGCACGGTTTCAAGACTGGCCGTGCTATGACTAGCGGCAATGTGGTATGCGAAAATAAAACAGCACGATTACGGGGGTAGACGCAAGCCGTGGGCTCGAATCACCCTTGCAGGGCGACGGGAGCGTTCCTTAAGCAAATGGGTTGGCGGCCTCCAGGGTGTGTGTGGCCGCATCCGTGACCCCACAACACTTTCCAAAGTCCCGCACGTCTGAATTAGACCCGGTCCAGAAATTCAAGCGTGAATGACAGGTATCCAGCTCCTCCCGCTAGCTACCAGGCAGCCGGAAATTCAACCCACTACGATCTGACTACCCGGTAGTGGGTCAAGGATGCGGCCACATACTCCAGAGGCCGCCAGCCTATTTGCATAGGGACTGCACCGCCGCACATAAACGCAACCGTTCGATCGGTCGGAAGAGGGCTCTGCCCGCTAGCGCTTGAGCTGGAAGAAGCTCAGTCTTGAGCCACTTTAGGCTTCGAAAGAACACCGAGCCGCAAGCAAGAACAGCGAAAACCAGTTGTGTTGCGCGACTTTTCTGGAAACGACAGTGTGGAAAACAAGACGATATGCTATGTTGGATAGAGCAAAGCAATCACGTCCACCCAGATCGAATTTGATCTGCGACTTCGTTTCTAAGTTAAGGTGACCCGCTTGCAAGCGAACGCGGCCGTCTCTGGCTGCGATGTCATCCGTCGATGGCTACACAGCGCGTCTGGTGGCCCACCGAAACCCTTGTCTTGCAGGCCAGCGATGAAGTCTCTGGAGCCATCCGCCGGCTGTCGCGATCCGTGACAGGCGCATGGGTGAAAGCGCAAGGTGAAGGAGCGATCGTCATTGCAGCTCGTGGGCTGAGGTCATGGCTTGGCACCAATCTAATGGAGAGGCCACGGAACTTTGTAGAGTCAGTGTCAGTGCCGGTACTTCTGCAATTACCACGACACCTGCTAACCACTCATTCGACAACAACATCATCGTGACACTAATGACGCTAAAGACGCTAAGAGATGTCCACAATGAAAATTGGTTGTACAAGTGGGTAAACGTCGAGGTCGCGACCACTGCACTGGGAATGTACATTAACCCTCAGGCTTGCAGCGTATGGTGTGGTGAGTTCGGACTCGGCTGATCATGAGCTCGACCGGCCGAACGACCGGATGAACCCTGTATCGTAGCATTGGGCGTCGCAGAATCCACCAAAACCTCAGGCTCGCAAGATCTGGTGTATGACGATTGTTTCTTTTTCTAGCAAACATTATCGTTCACTGCAGCCGTCGCAAGACAAGAGCCCTGTATTGCGCGAGCTATCCTATTTCCCCGTGACCGTCTATCCTTGACTTCTGTCTGGTAGCTATGGCGCTTCACAACTGATCGTTGAGGTTTAGTAGAGAAATCAGACGCATGCAGTAGCGACCAGCGTTTCTTCGCTCATTTCGCATCCAAATCCCGTCTTCACCTTACTATGACGTGGGGGAAAAAAGAGTTGCCAATATGGCCCATCTGACGGAAGCACGTTGACAGCGTCTCACCTTTTGCATCTGCATCCCGGCGGAGCCGTTGATGTGGCTGCCTCTAGCGCAAGAAGCTAAGGGACTGCAGGTACAGGCAGTGGGGTCTCTGAGCCCTCTCTTCTTGCTTCTGGCATAGTCCAACCAACGCGGCGCCACCGGTCAAAGCAGCGAAACGGGCGAGTCATTGAACCTTCTCTACTTGCTTCTGGCGTAGTCCAACGAACGCGACGCGGCACGCACGAGTCGACGCCGCCGGTCAAAGCAGCGAGACGGGCTTGCTACCACGGGGCCGGCTCCGCTCCCCTTTCCTCTTGCCTCTCTTCATTTCCCCTGCGCCTGCGCCTACGAGCTTAGAGCCCGCTGTCTCCCAAGAGATAACCGGTGGTCGTCGTCACCGACGTCGAAAGGCCACACAACATGCGCACCATCTCAAACACCACAGGCTCGCAGTCCATGTAAGATCAGTCTTCAGCAACGAGAATCTTCGATGTAGGCTTCTAGAAGAATTTCAGCAGAATGCCGAAGCAGATCTCTCTTGCTGGCCCTTCGCATTTGTGACTGTAAAGCTTATTGGCCTCGTAAACAGCTGGGACTCGTGACGATGGGTGATTGAGTATGATACTGTTCTGGATCATGAGCCTGGGACACGGCTGGGACGGTACAAGCAGTAAAGTGTGGGATGCGGGTCTGCTCGGCTACAGTACCTTTGTTGCGTGGGGCAAGAGATCCGCATCCTGCGCGCAATCAGCAACACGATTCTAGTTGACGCTACCGAACAAACAACATGCTTCGCTAACGGGTTCTCGGATGGTTACGTAGGAAGAAAGCTCCGCCCAAAAAAGCAAAGCCAATGTCTGCGCGACATTACAAGGGATGCTGTGTCGCGTGGCTTTTTCTGTGAGGTCTGGTCGGATCTAAGCTGACCGACGGACACGGCGACCGCGTTGCGCACGCGTTAATAGGTGGATATTTGGGTGCGTGAAGATTGCGATGCTTATGTAGCTGCTATAGTTGTACGAACGACTACTCCGGTATGCAACTACAGAGATGACAACAAAAGAGGCGTCTGATTAGCCTCTTTCGTGGAAATAGCAAATGCAACCGACATCTTTCCTGTCGAAGCTAAAATCACGCTTCTGGAACGCGAACATCTCAGTCGTGTCCACAGAACAGTTCGTGACAAACACATATTGAAATTTCAACGTGTGAACATGCTAGTCAGGGATCTTCGCGACTTTCTTACCCTTGTTTCATGAACACAGCATCGCCATTATGTATGCTGAATGTCGTTTACATAGATATACAACTGCAGGCCGAGTAGAATGCGTTCAGCAACGTCGAACCTCAATAATCCGCCTGCTGTAACAACAGACTGTTGTTTCGCTTTCTCTGACATTGCTATCAGAAGTCCATGCAGCCCCTACATTACTTGCTACGATGAACTGCACCGTCCCGACCATAACAGCTTCCGGCAATGGCGTCAACGCGAACACCATCGTTGGCATCGTCTTTGGAACACTTATGCTTGCGATTGCATGCACCCAGCTCTTCTTCGAGTATCGAAAGTTCCGCTCATGCAGTGGTAGCGGTGAGTGTCTTGCCTTGACTTTGCCCTCAATAGCTCGGGCTGATCATGGTAGCCAATAGAAGACGCTGGTGCTAACAGTATACAGCTTGACGACGGATGAGTCCTCTAATGCATAAACTCCAGTATGCTGTTTCTCGTGTATCGTGATCTCACCCAACTAACCGGTAAACAGACGTTCCCTCGAGCTGCGACGATGAGACCGCTAGGGTGGATGGCGGATCAATAACAAAGCCGGCGCAGTGTAACGCCGGTGGCGGCGGAGTGGATAGCGGGGTTGGCAATGGCGGGTGCTACTACAGAATCGACAATTGGACATGCTTTTTACTTGACCTCTACCTCACTGGTAACTGTTATCCTCGTGCAATCGCTGGGCGATATTCCACCTGTGCAAGTGCTGGCAATGCAGGCCTGACGCTCGAAGCGCTCGTCTCCATGGTTGTGCAAGATCCTCTCAATTGTCTCCACAGAAGTTCCGTCTAATCTGGGACACAACCTTTCTTCACTACTGACGCGGATCGTTGTCGAATACAGATTGGGTTTCTTCCCAAATTTGGGCTGGGATCCCACCGTGTACACTTGCAGCTCTTTGTCTTCGGTCGATCGTCCGTTTTCGCCTCGTGGAGGGTTTTTGCGTGATGCGTTCGACGAGAGGTACGAGCTGTATTTGCCAATCACAACACGCCAGAACGGCCGCAGGGCAGGGAAACATCCAGCGATGATGAGAACATTGTTTTCAGTCCTGCTTGCGTGAGTCAAAGTCCCTTGTGATCAATAACACTATACTCACAGATACCAGATCGTTATCTCTGACCAAGAGTGTGTCATGTCCGCGACATTGGAGATGCTGCCCATTGCTATGATCTTCATGATGGTTGCGAATGTGCCACTGCCAACGTCAGTAGTTGCATCAACAGTGCGGCGAGGTGACCTCACAGGATGCTACCACCCATCAGTATTACAAGGTTTCGCTTGTCCTTTCGAGTAATGTTCAAAGTCCTTATGATGAAGTATGGCATTATAGCGCAAAAGACGTCCATCATCGCGTTATACACTGAGGCTTCAGCACCTTGCAGAGACAGTGGCACTCTTCCAACATACCTGAGACCGACTTTCCAACAACATCCAGCATTGTGGGATTCAAGCATGTGCCCTCCATCTGCGGTCTCCAAGACTTCTGTACGGGCGAACAAAAGAAGATCATGACAGAGCATGAGAGTGTGGAGCCGATCAGCAAGACGACCAGAGGGGTATACGCGATGAAGTTGTGCGATAGACGCGCTGTGTGTCCTCGGATCTAGGCTGGTAAGCTGAGAGTTACGTCCCTTGCAAAGTCTTGTGTACTTACTCTCATCAGTGCGATGATGATGGAGGCTTTCGTAAAGAAAGCGCTGACGATGGAGAAGCAAGGCGCCAACAGCACGTACATAGTAGCCGTAGCCTGATCTTCTGGATCGCTGATGTCCTGTACATGTTGTCCAAGGCCGTACGCAGTGCCGGCTGTTACGAGCGATGTACACACTACAGCGAAGACCTGATGTTCCAGTAAGTCAATGGCGATCGAATGTAGGACTGAGGTCTAGAGTCGAACTCACCAGGCCAGCAATCATACACCAGTCGTCCCAGCCCAGGTTCGTCGTCACGACTCGTGCGCGTGTATATGATCGCGCTAAGACGGAGATGGCTGAAAATGAGACCAGAGTCCACCCAACAACATTGAGGACTGTTCGATAGTCATGCATATCAGCGGAAAAGAGCAGCGACAAACCTCGAAGACATCAGAATGCTACTCACAAGACCCTTCACAGGACAGAGCATCGTTCACATACTGCTCCTGTAGATACTGTGTCCTAAGTATCAGGGTCATTCGGGCGTGCTATTGCTCGTTCAGGCATGCCAAGCTCGTACGGTATGACTTTTGTCGCGTCGCACTCTCCTATCTGCCGAAAGTCCTGCAGAAGCGTCTCATGAGCGTTCATGATTTGATGGCTCAAGTTGTGCCGCAATCCTACACGACGCTACCTGGGTACGCTCGTATTAACCCAGTAGCCCCACGCCCTGTCATTGGCTGCGACAAGGGACGGGCCGTGGTCCGCCCCACTCAAATTCAGGAAGCGGGACGTATCGAAGCCTAGCATGAGATGAGGCACCGAAAGCTCGAAACATGCCCTGTCATCGCCTTGTATCGCATCTTCGGATAAACAGCGGCTTCCCTCACGCCTCGAATCTCTGGACACTGACCTCTCCAGCGTAGTCACAATGGCCATATTATCACCAGCAGTCTTATTCGTTGTCAGTCTGTTGGCGACATCGTACCTCTGGTTCCGTAGACGACAAGACTCGAATTTACCTCCGGGACCGCCTCGTCTGCCCATTCTCGGCAACTTACACCAGGCTCCTAAAGAAGCAGTCTGGGTTACATACCAGAAATGGGTGGAGCAGTATGGTCCTCTTGTGTACCTCAATTTCGGCGGCACGAATGTGATATTGATTGGAGACCATGAGGTGGCCAAAGATCTGCTTGACAAGAAGGCAATGATCTACAGTAGTCGGCCACGCATGGTAAGTTACGAGTCAATTCTGCCGACAGCTGTAATAGCGACCTGATATTCCAAGGTTATGGCACAAGAGTTGACGTGCAAGAGCAAGCACATAATGTTCAAGCCATTCGATGGTGACTTTCTCTTGCACCAACGACTAGAAGCTCCTGTGCTCAGCCCGCGTGCGTCAGCCTGTTACACGGCGATTCAGGACCTAGAGAGCAAACAGCTCTTGAAAAACCTTCTTCAATCAAACGACTTCCCCAAGGAGTTCGAGCGTTTTGCGGCGAGCATCGTATATTCCATCACCTTCGGCATGCGCATCATCACCGGCGACGAATGGCAACTTCAAACCAGTCACGAGTGTCTTAAGAACTTCACTATCGCCGGTCAGGTCGGCGCATGGATAGTCGATCTCTTCCCGTCCCTCAACAGCCTCCCAGCACCATTGACACCATGGAAGAAAACTGCTGAGGCGTGGTACCAGATGTGGGAAAATCTCCACATGGCCAACATGGAAGACGCCCTTAAGCAGAGTTGCTATCAGTCAATCAGTCAGTTGTCAGTTCATCTTTGCGGTTCAAACTGTCAGTCTGGAGGTAGTGAACTGACCTGATTGACTGCCAAGACATTTTTTAGAATCGCGAACTGAGAC